GATTACCCAGAATGAGCTATGTCTCTTTCATGCCGTCAAATGCTGATCTGGGTAATGGTTAAGCATTATGGTCCATTTTCCAGAGTAGATGATACAGGGCTAAGGGATGGTGTCAGAGTTTCAGAGTCTGATGCTGGACAGCATCTAGGCCAACCCTCTCCTTTTATAGGTGAGCAAACAGAGGCCCAGAGTGGTTCAGGATCACACAGGTAGAAAGTAGCAATGGCATGAACCTAGGTCTGTCCTCTCCTTCCATTTGCCTATACCGCCTCCCTGTGTGAAAATACTTAATTTTTTAAAAAAATACCTCCCTTCTTCCCCTCCATTCTGAACTGTGTAACAAAGAATAAAAAAGACAGTTCAGTGAAACTCACTGACAATTGATAGACTAAGTTTTTTGTCAGCACACAAGTCACACAGCCAGAATGTGCTGAAGGCAGGATTTGATACAGAGCCAAGCATGTAATAAGAACTTAATTAATCCTGGACCTGGGGTCAAGAAGACCTTAATTTAGATCCAGTCTCAGATGTTCACCAACTATGTGACTCCGGGCAAGTCAACCAGATCTGTTTTCCTCAGTTTCCTCATCTGTAAAATGGGGATAAAAATAGCACCGACTCTGAAGGGTTGTTGGCAGGATCAGATGAGACAATAATGTAAAGCACCTAGCAAACCTTAAGGCTCTATATTCAAATTCAAGCCATTATTATGATCATTAATAGTATATTAGTGTTAACATATAATTAACATAACAATATTACAAATATTATTGTTGTTGTTACAAAAAAGCTTATTGATTGAAACCAGATCTTACTCATTCTTAGCCCCGGGTATCTCCACATAGACGCTGAGCAACATATATGATGAAAAAGGCATTCAACTGAATAATTCATTTTTCTACCTCTGTATCCCAAGCATCCCGCACAGCGACTAGGCATTGTAGTAGGTACTGAATAGCTTATCGACTGGTTAATTGTATGCACGTTCCAAGCCCAGAATCCCTGTCCTCTGCAAGGAAGGGAGGGATGTATATTTTCTCATCCTTTGGAGAAGGGAGGAAACAGGAGAGTGAGCTTGGTCATTATAATTTCATAGCATTCGCGAAAGTACACTTTAAAGAAATGACGCTGAGAGGGAAGAAGCAGAGCCCAAAGTGACCAAGATCCCCAGTGCCAGGCACAACTAATAAGCTAACATGTGCCCTGTGCGTGGCACATAGTAGGCATCTGATAAATACTTGTAGGTTGAATAAACAACACTGAGGTTGAACCAAATTGGGACCAAGTGATGAATGTCTTCCTCAAAAAATGGTGATCTGTGGAAGGAGGTCTCACACATGGTCTGTGGACAGTCAGTCTTCAGCTGCTTTTTTTTTCCTCCAATCTTTGTTTTGGAGAAAACTGGGATTAAGTGACTTGCCCAGGGTCACAGAGCTAGCAAGTGTCTGAGGCTGGATCTGAAATCAGGTCCTCCTGACTCTGGAGCCAGTGCTCTACCCACCCTTGCAGTCACTTTTGCTTCACTCTTTTGGGGGAACGTGCGTGGTGGGGTGCTGACTGTGTATGTGTTGGGTCAAAACAAAATAGGCCAGTGCCCGGCACATAAATGCTTGTTGAATGACAAAAATCTATCAAGGAAATGTAAATTCATTTCAGTGATCAATGTCTATTAATACAGCTTACAACAGTAGTAAGAATAGCTAAGATTTTGTGGCACTTCAGGATTACAAAGCATTTACGGGTTTTCTCATCTGATCCTCACAACAGCCAGGTGTGGAGTGCTCACCTCCTGCCATTCTCATCTGCCATTTTGCAGGTGAGAAAACTGAGGCTGAGAGCGCTAGGTTAAGTGAATTGCCTGGAGTCACACAGCTAGTAGCATTAAGAGGCAGAATTCAACTCCTATCTTCCTGACTCCGCGTCTGAACTCAGCCAACCAGGAGTATGAGCCTTACCTCCTGGCAGCTCCCACAGGGCCACAGAACTCAGGATGTTTGTCCTGATTTCACTCTAGACTGACTTCCCTCAGAACTTAAGAAGCATCCAGCATGATGCAACCTGGGACACTCTTGGCACCTGCTGTCGTCTTGCTCAGACAAAGGCCTCCATTGACATCACCAGCCTCCCAAGGGGACGCTGCCATGTCACGAGTAGCTCCTAAGCTGCTCAGGCTGAGAGTTTTCCCTGCAGAGAATAGGAGTGATGCTGGAGACACAGGGTCAGTGTTTCTTTACTAACCTCTTGTTGGCTCGCAGACCAGAAATTTCTTAGCTGCTGTGTGCTCGCTCCTGCTCACTCCCCTGGGAAATCCAGATTTTTGGCCTTGAGAATCTGGCATGAGACGGATTACTTTATTTAAAAACAACAAACCCAAAAACTGAACATGGCCAGAAATGATCATTTATGTATTCCCTTCCATCCTCCTCCCTGGCTGGGATTAAAATTTGGAACGAGTCTAAGTTTCCAAAGAGGCTGCAGCAGGGGAGGGATGGCCCTTGTCTTCAGCATTTGGAGACGCCTTTTCTTCGCAGAGGTAGCAGACTCTAGATATAGAGTACTGTACAGACTGTCAGTTGATAGGCCGATCAGCTTTGCTGTACTGATTCCCCCTTCCTCTTGTATTGAGACTAGAGACTGCTTTCTGGGTAGTGGTGAGAAGGCATTCTATTTGAAAATGGAGGTGATGTAGAGAGAAAAGCTAAAGTTTTTTTTTTTTAAAGTGTTCAAAGGCTCATTGATAAGGCAGTGATGACAATAATGGGGGTTACAGATTGAGACTGTTTGTTTTTGATCCCTTTGTCAACCAACTTGGTAGGAGACAGTCTGGGAGCAAGGTGAAGAATTCCAAAAATGGCAGACAGGCCTGGCAAGGACTGGCCTTCTAGAGCAGGGATTTTCAGCCTTTTCTGGGTCATGGATCCCGTTGGCAGTCTCATGAAGTCTGTGGACCCTTGCTCAGAACCATGGTTTTAAATAATGGAAGGAAATGTTAAATTCGGTTCCAGGTTAACGAAAATGAAGATGTAATTCCCCGCCCCCCCCATTCAAGTTACTAGGCCTCCTGAAAGCTGTCTATGGGCCTGAGATTAAGAACTTCTTTTCTAGAACCTCCTCTGGATAGAAGCTATGGAAACTGCTTGAAGTTGGGAATCAGTTTCCATATTTATAAAGTTAGATTGTTAGACTAGATGTATGATCCCAAAAAGTACCTTTCATTTTTTTTTAAGTGAGGCAATTGGGGCTAAATGACTTGCCCAGAGTCACACAGCCAGGAAGTATTATGTGTCTAAGGCTGGATTTGAACTCAGGTCCTCCTGACTCCAAGGCCAGAGCTCTATCTGCCACGCCACCTAGCTGCCCCCACCTTTCATTTCTTAGCTGGGTTTAAGCTTCTATTCTGTCACTTACTATTCTTTGTGGCCTTGGGTTAGTCACTGTAACTGCTCTGTACCTCAGTATCCTCATCTGTAAAAACAAAGACCTTTAATAACCTTCCTTCCTTTCTGCATAGTATGGGTATGAGGCTCCTAAGAGTTGCGTGTGAATGAGCCTTATAAAGAAGGCAGCAGTATAGAAGCAGCTAGGTGGCACAGGAGACAGAGTGCCAGTCCTGGAGGCAGGAAGACCAGAGTTCAATTCTGGCCTCAGACACTTCCTAGCTGGGCAACTCTGGGGAAGTCACTTCATTCTGCTGGCCTCAATTTCCTCATCTGTAAAATGAGCTGGAGAAGGAAATGGCGAACCACTCCAGTATCCAAGAAAACCCAAAAGGGGGTCACAAAGAGTCAGACACAACTGAACAACAAAACAACAGAAACACAAGGGAATTTTCTTTTTAAAGGCAACACGCTTGTTTCAATAGGCAGAGTATACATAACTCTTTTGAAAAAGTACAAGGTTTTGACCCACAGACCTTTGTCCTATCCGCTCCTTTGAAGTGACTATGTAGTTATGTTGTCTTTATTCTGTATTTAAGTATCTAGGTTCATGCTTTATGCCTCCAATAGAATATAAACTCTTGGAGGGCAGAGGGATTATAGTAGTTTTGGCTTGGCATCCTCAGCAGGTATTTATTTTGTTTTGGTTTTTTTGAGGCAATTGGGGTTAAGTGACTTGCCCAGGGTAGCACAGAGAGTGTCCAGCGTCTGAACCCAGATTTGAACTCAGGTCCTCCTGACTCCAAGGCCAGTGATCTATTCACTGCGCCACCTAGCCGCCCCATCTCAGCAGGTTTTTATTAAATGCTTCTTGAACTGAATTAGTTTGGGAGAAGATACATTTGGTCAGATGTTTCTCAAGAAGGTCAACTGCTTGGTTTTCCCAAAGGAATGGAAGTCCCTTGAGGTCAGGGGCTGCTTTTCATTTTTGCCTTTATATTGCACAATACCAGGTAGGCACATATAAACTCAATTCAACTCAATTCAACAAGGATTGACTAAGAGTTTCTGAGTGAATGAATGAATAAGCTTTTTTTTTTCCTTTTCGGTGAGGCAATCAGGGTTAAGTGACTTAACCAGGTGTCAAGTGTCTGAGGCCAAATTTGAACTCAGGCCCTTCTGACTCAAAGGCCGGAGCTCTATCCAGCTACCCCATGAATAAACATTTAAGTGCCTTCTATGAATGAATGAAAAGTATTAATACTTTTTTTTATTCATTAAGAAAGCACTTAAGTCCTTTTTCGGTGTCAGGCACTAGCTAGGTGCACCACAGAATTTAAATTGACTCGCTGGGATTGTTTGAGGTATTAAACATGACTCCTTTAAATCCTTTAAAGATGCAACCAGGGGCAGCTAGGTGGCGCGGTGGATAGAGCTCCAGCCTTGGAGTCAAGAGGACCTGAGTTCAAATCCTACTTCAGATACTGGACACTTACTAGCTGTGTGACCCTGGGCAAGTCCCCTAACCCCAACTGCCTAAGCAAAAAGACAAAGAAACAAAGATGCAAAGAGGTAATTTCTGCAGAAAGAAACGTAGGTGAATGTGTCACGTCTGTGTTGTAGAGTCCGAATGGATTGCTGCTGACGCCCAGCCCGCTGCTGTCTAGCATTCACTTCTGGAGCAGCCTGAGCCCGGTGGCCCCGCTGAGTTCTGCCCAGCTGCAAGGACCCAACACTTTGTTTCAGGTGAGCTTGGGACATGAACGTACCTGCTGAGAGACAGGGAGGATTAGATCATCCCACGGGAAGGGGCTCTTAATGGAAGGTCTGGGAACTTGAAAAAATATTAACTCTAATGCCTATATCTTGATACAAATGAGATAAGTAGAAGTTGCTTGGTGATCCTGTGTATTTCATTTTATGTGCATTTAAAAAGAAGTGACCCTCCCAGACTTGTCCAGTCTGCCAGAGGGATCCACATGCCCCAAAGGCTCAGAACCTCTGATCTTTAAGGTCAGAGGAAAAGAAAAAAAGTACTGAACAAAATCCCTGAACTTATAGAAATGGTGTTCTGATCATTTGTAACTACACTGAGAAGAAACATGCACGTAAAACATCTTAATGCAGCGGAACCAGTGCTGGTTCTAGCGTTCTAGACTGAAGTCCTGCTGCTGGCACTATCTGTGTGACCTTTGACAAGTTGCTTCATCTCTCCCAGCCTCAGTTTTCCTCATTTATAAAACGAAGGGGAGGTGGGGAGACCAGACCAGAGACTCTTACCCTGTGGTCCAGGAAGCTGATTGTAGACAGACAGACAGAGATAAACAAACTGTATTTTACCATAATTAGTTTGCCTTGTAATTGGTCAGTCTACCATGTGTCAGGCTCTGTGCCAAGGGTAGGAGATAAAAAGATAGGTAAAAAAACAGTCCTCATTCTCCAGGAACATGCAGCCTAATTGGGGAGACAGCTTGCAAGGATAACTTGGAGATGATGTGCATTAAAAATGTGATTCTGAGGAGGGGTCTGCGCCCTTCACCAGATGAGGGCCATAGGGTCCCTTCCCACTGGCGTCTGTGATGTCACGATCATCTCCTCCAGCCCCCTCATTCTTCGTTTGAAGAAACAAAGGCCTCGAGAGGATACTTTGCATGGCTCAAGTCACGCAGTGGTGTCAGAACCATGGTGCTTCCCAAAGACTCAGTCCAGAAGCACTTATTATGCCCCTAAGAGATGCTGGGCTCTGGGGATACAAAAAAATGGCACAAATCAGTCCCTGCTCTCACATAGCTCACAGTCTGATGGGGGAGAAAACATGTATGTACAGGCAAGGTATGGATATTTCACTGGAGGAGGGTACTGGTTTTAGGGGGAATTGGGAAAGGTAGAGGGTGGGATTTTGGCTGGGCCTTGGAGGAGGCCCAAGATGAGCAACAGAGTACCTTGTTTGGGAACCAGCAAAGAGGCCAGTTTTGCTGAATCATAGAATATCTGGAAGGGAGAAGACCGGAAAGGTAGCAGAGGGCCATGTCAAACAGACCTTTGAATGCCAGAGCATTTTACATTTGGTCCTCAAGATGACAGGGAACCATTAGAGTTCATTTGACTAGGGAAGTGACATTAGGAAGATCGCTTGGGTGGCTGAGTGGAGGAGAGATTGGAGTGGGGAGAAATTTGAGGGGAAAGAAAATGAATTCCATTTTGGACATCGTTTTAGGTGTCTACAGCGAGTCAGAGGTGATGTCTGAACTCAGGTCCTGAGTCCAAGTCCAGGGCTCAGTCTTGCCTTCCAAAGTATCAGCAGTGAGATCTGAACTCATATCTTTCCGGTTTCCTAGGCCTGTTTGCTTCTCCACCACCCCTCCTGTATAGGATGGGTCGTCTCTCCAGACTGTCATCAGAACAGGGCTTGTCAGGTTCTGCTTTCCAACACTGCAAGGCATCTGCTTTGGATGGGTCTTCTAACTCTACGGGCTAGCCAGCACACTGGCAGACCACGTTAGGGGATTCAGGATTACTGTAGATTGATTTCGGATCCTGCACAGGCTGTGGGATGATACTGTTCCTCTTTCACATGGCCTTCAAGACCAGGTTTGGAGGAAAGTTTCCTGGTACTTAGGATATTTTAAGGCAACACACAAGAAAGGTTAAGAGCTTTTTGATTTTAAGTCCCAGACTTAGGACTTTGCCATCTTGTCCTAGCTGACTGGATTTGATCATCTTTGGCAGGATAAGTAGGGGGACAGCTGGGCTTTGGTTGGGTAGGGATGTGCCTGGTAAGGCTCAGGTGGATTATCTCGCTTGTGGTATTAAGCATCTTCAGCCATCTGCCCTTGTGTGCTACGTGAGACACTGCTGAAGTCTAAGAAAGTTGACTTTTTTTTTTTTTAAAGCAAGGAGTCTTATTTGAGACCTGCTCTTGCTGAGAAGTTACCAAGCTGCACTGGTAAAGGGATTCCCTCACTTGGGAGTTCTGCATGCCAATTACAGATCAGGTCTAGTACCTACTCGGGCAAAGGCAAGATTTCATTACGGAGAGGGCCATGTTGGAGGATCCCTAATCGTTTTGTGAGCATGGAGTGCTTTTCACTTTGGCAAAGACTGGAGATATGGGACGTTGGGCTGCTGTCCATGAAATCCCTCAAGGGGGGCACCCCCCTGCCATATGCATGGGTTCAAGGCCACAGGACCCCTCTGTTTACTTATATACCTGTAATCTCAATTGTGGGGTAGATCACTCCACTGAGGCAGACTGGCAATTTGCCTATAATCCACAGTCCTACAGATCTGTCTCAGTCACAGAGAGAGGTTAAGGGACTTGCTCAGAGTCACACAGCCAGGATGCACTGGGGGGGGGGGGGGGTGTCTTGTGCTCAGATCTTCAACTCTGATGCTTACCTTGGGCAAATCATTATCTGTAAAATAGGCCTAGATGGCCTCTGAAGTCTTTTCTGTAGTTCATTATGATATGTATGGGACCTTTTTCTTTTGAAGGGGATAGGGAAAGAAAGGTAAGGGGTCTTATCTCAGCTTGTCCAATTTTTCTCTTTTTTGTGTGTGTGTGGGGGATTTACTTTCCCAATCTAATTCTAACTCTCTAGCCGTTTGACTTCGCTGAATCTTAAGGACTGGCCTCACTTGTAGCCTCTATGAAATGCTAAGTTTCATGATCTCAGAGCTGATTGTGGTTGAATGTAAGCAAAGACTGTCCCATGCTTTCTATCTGTACACCCAGTGCCTGGCACATAGTAGGTGTTTAATTGATTACTGATTGATTCTTCATTCCTTAACTTAATCATTTTGGAACTCAGCAGAGGGTGTATGGGTAAGATTCTCATTTAGTATTTCAATAAATTAACTGCAATTCTGCAGCCACTATGTGTGTCATGGACCCTTCTCAGAATAATGTTCTTAAATGCATAAGTTAAAATACAGAGGCTTACAAAGGAAACCTACTGTGATGAAATATAGTTGTCAAAATATTAAAAAAAAAATTCATGGGCTCTAGGTTAAGGACACCTGTATAAAGTATTGGGTTAAACAGAGATATATTTGGGAGCTAGGGCAGTCAGGGAAATGATGGAGAAACAAAAGCCAGACCCCCTCCCCTTTTGTAAAAGGGCATTTCCTGTGAAAGGGGAGAAAAAAAAATGAGCATTCTGAAAAACAGAACATAAAATGGAAAGAGAAGCTAAGTTTTGAGCTTTTCAAAATGGTTAAGACAGGGCAGGCAATTTTAAAAAATTCATCATGTCTGAAAATAATTTCCTTCAAAAATGACTTTTCCATAGACTCTGTCTCTGCCATAGATGTCCCAGAATCAGGGAAGCAGGCACATAGACTTGGCCTGTAATGAATTCTCAACAAGACTGGCAACTTTGCTGTGGTGCTAATTAGAAGAGAAAACTGGATCTGAATCTTTAAGGTTAAAGCTGACAGATCTCAGATGCCTCAGCTAGATCATGAAAAAGCTGTTGCCTGAGTCTGGGGGAAAAAAAGAAATCTGAGATGACAGTTATGGCAAATTAGTGGGGAGCATCAGAGGAGACGAGGGAACATGAAAAGAGTACTTCGTAATTAGGACAGTCTTAGGGACAGAGAGGCTGTAGGCAACAGAAGACTGAAAATTGCTACTCAGTATACACACACACATTCCCCAAAGTCTTAGTTCTAAACTTTAAAAGCTGAAATCGAATCAAGAGGTAAATCCCAAAACACCAGCATAGAAGAAATTGGAGAAACTCTTCTTACCCTTTTCCTCCTGCAAAAAAAAGTCATGGGTCGTTAGATAAATGGAGAAACGTACTGGACTACAGAGCCTTTCAGCAGCACTGAGACTTTTGGGACACCCTGCCTGTACACACGTGTTTCTCTGTGTTTGTGTGGCTGGAGGATCTGGACTTTGGTCACATCCTTGACACACAATGGCTGTGTGACCCTGGACAACTCACTCCCAACTGTGGCCAGTAAAACACAGATATTACACTCTGAAAACAAAGTCAATATGCAACCTGTAGAGACATCCGCATACGGATCAGTGGTCCCCATTTTATCTGTTTGACACCACCACATAGACTAGAACTCGCCAAGAAGGTGCCAGCCCACATTGGTATAAGGAACATCCTCACCTGGAAATTCCCTCCACCAGTGATATCCGAGCTCTGATCCAGCTCCTTTCCTCTAAATGCTTCAGTGTTCACATTGTCTGATCCCCCCTCTCCCCTGGTGATCTCCTGGGTTCAAAACCACAGCATTATCCTCAGCTCCTCATTCTCCCTCACCCCACATATCCAGTTACCAAATCTTGTCATTCATCCTTTCCCCACTTCTCTTACATGCGGACCCCTTTTGTTTAGGCCCTCATGACCTCTTCCCCTAGATGATTCCAAGAGCCTTCTAATGCACATCTGTGTCTCTGTCTTCTCACCCTCCAAATGGCTGCCAAAGTAATTTTTTCCCCCTTAAACAGGCATCTGAGCATGTGATTTCTCTACACCTGTTGAGATATTTAAGCCTTACATAAACCCGGTCCCAAGCTCTCTTTCTAGACTCACTAGACATTATTCCTCTTCCTCAACACCATCTGTGTCTGGGCACCCGACTGTGGGAATGCACACCTCCGGTGGTTGAGGATGCAGCTTCCTCCCCATCTTCTGCAGGAAGCCTTTCCTGTTCCCTCCCCCACTGCGAGAGCCTTCCCTTCCAAACTACCTAGCAGACATTTGCACGTGTTCACACTGTTTGTCATCTGTCTATACTGATTTCTCTCATTAGAAGGAAGGCTCCTTGAGACAGGATTACAATCCTATCTTCAGGGACTGACACAGAGCACGTGCTTAACAAATAGGTGTTGACGGATATAAACAGCTAGTTTCTCCTCTGACAGAATGTAAGCTCTTTGTAGACAGGAGAGACTGTTCCCTTTTCCTTTGCATCCCCAGCGCCTAGTTTAGTGCTGGGCACATAAGAGTTGCTTAACAAATGCTTGCTGATTGATTGCTTTGACCAGGCACATTCTTGCCCTGGAGTCCATGGAGGTCCATGAACTAGAATGGGGGGAGGGTGAGGAAGTGACAGCTTTATTTTCACCATCCTCTGATGGAAATTTAGCATTTCCATCAATTATTTAAAAACACTATTAGGAGAAGGGATCCGTAAGTTCTACCAGACGCTGCCCAAGGGGTGAAAACAACAGCAAAAGACCAAAAATCCCTGGATTAGACTGACCAAAGACCAGTTATGGTGGAATTGACTGATTCTCATAATGTCCCTTTGAAGTAGATATTATCCTCTCCATTTTTACGGTTGAAGCTACTGAGGCAGGCAGAGGTTAACTGACTTGCCCAGTCACACAACGTGTAAGGGTCTGGGGATGGATTTGAACTCCGGTCCTTCCTGACTTCAGGCCCAGCACCACCTACCTGCCCCCTAAAAGGCTTTTAATTCTTCTCAAGTCATTTGGGAGTGTCGATGGCTAAACACAGGCCATCTGACCAAAAACTGATTATTGCCAGTCCACAAACCCCGGTCTGATTTTGTTCTTAAGCACAGCTACCAAATGAAGGTTATGTTTCAGGCTAAGCTCTCTTTCTGTTCCCTGTTTTAAAGTGTGTACTCCCAATACTTTTAATAAAAGACTCTTGATTTTATCAGTATGGGAGTAATCTAATAAACTGGAATTCCTCCACCACCCAGCAGCTGGTTTTATGAACTGCTCTGGCTCCAAAAGGGGCTGGGCTTAGTAATCAAGCTTTTCCAGTCTTGGTTGAGCTGGCCCTGGGACAACAGTCTATCAGGGCTTATGTTTGTCGGGTGACATGATTATCAAGAACCCAAAGGTTACCTACCTTTCACGATGACAGAGTCACTCTTGAAATCTCACAAGACAAGAACATATTTCTCCACTGTTGCTAACAGTTGCCTGGATGGAAGACTCATACAGTATTAATGACTCGTTATCATTGACTCCCACATTGAGAGAGCCAGGAAGGTTGGCCTCTCCATAATTAGTTTCCTCTCAATATTTAAAAGCCAATCAATCAGTATGGCTTCAGGGGCTGTGCTTGGGACCTGTTCTGGCAGGGCAGGACTGAGGTGTCTTTCTACTGGGCATACCACGTGACTGCCATTCGCACTGGTTTATGACAGTGACATTTTGCTTTTTCTCCCCTGCCTAGTTCCCAACTCTGCTCAATGGCCACATACCAGTGCCAATCCCCAGCCTGGACAGAGCCTCTTCCCCGGGACTGCTTTCTTCAAGTGCCCAGAAATCCTGATGATCTCTCCACATTAAAGGACTTGTTAACTGATAGAAGAAATCCACCCCAACGGGCTAGTTTTCCTGTGTCGTGACAAGGACATTGTGAAACCCTGTTACTTTGGTTTGCACTTTCCATTACTTGGATAGTCTAATTTGTTGCGTTAGCATTTTTTTCAACAGTTTTATATATGTGTGTGTGTGTGTGTGTGTGTGTGTGTGTACCAGTATATATAAAAACCTGTTTTGCATTAAATGATTTTTTTCATGTTTTTGTATTCTCTTAGCTCTCAAGTGTTGAACACTGTTGACAGTAAAGAACTTTTCTTAATGGATTTCATTGTATCTAATAAGGATGTGAAGCTTCTCCTCCCTTTAATTCTGCACTGTGCTTATGTACATTATAACCGGCTGTGCCTTCTTTTGCATAATGTTTAATGTTATGTAAATGATTTATATATTTTCTAGTATTAAGAGAAAATGGTTGAAAGACAAAAATTAGTATCCAACAGCGCTATGGTAGTGATGCATTATTTTTCACAAGTAGGCAATATGAAAGCACATCCATATAACTTTTTACTTTGTGCTTTCAAATTGTATACAAAATTGCCTTACAATTTTTTGAACTGAAAGACAATAGTAAATCTACTGTCCAAGGTAATGAGTTGTTTTTTTTTTTTAAAGAATAAACCAAGCCATATTTAAACAATGAATATTCATAGACTGAAATGCTCCAAGGGCGTATTAAAAGCATAATTTCAAAAGACAAATTTTCTAGCTGCCGACAAGACCTTTCAGATTCTTTGCAAACAGGGAATGAAGATGCAAAAGCTACACAAAGAGAGCCTCTTTCCATGCTCTTGGGACCCATCCTGGATTGCTCCCAATCATTACATGTTCTCTTCGCAAATGAGAACGACCAGGGCTTCCACTTTCCATAGAGAATGACTCTCATCTGAATAGATTTACTCTGTCAATATGTGTTCAGGGTTTCCTGAAACCCTTAGGATCGTAGGTAGAATATTTAAAACCTAGTGTTTTCAAAGGGGCTCACTTTAAAGGGGGTTCTCAGTTTTGAAAATTTGGGCAGAATGCTCTACTTAATGTGATGTATCTTAAATTTATGGTCAAGGTGAAAGAAATCCAATATGAGTTCAAATTAATCATCTTCTGAAAGCACTATTGTTGTGGAACTGAATTTAACTGTTTCAAGTAATATGGAACAAGCTATATAGTCAATGTGCATTTGCAGTTTAGAGCAACGATTATGAAAATGTGTCCCAAGGGACAAGGCGTAAATGAAAGGCAACCTTCCTTCTAATGGTATTTTCTGCTTCTTCGAGGAAATTACTGGCATCCTAATACAGGATGGAAGAAAAGACCCTGGGAAAAGCATCTGGTACTGGTAAATTCAAGATTGGGTTAATTATAATCTCTAATTACTTTACTGGTTATAAAAATAATCTTGGATGATTACTGTACAGCTAATTGGTCTGGATCATCCCTTAAATGCACTACTATGGGACAACCATAAATATTATAAAGCTCTTACAACTAGTACTTAAATATTTTTGAAGTCGAATATTCAGATACTGGTTTTTTTTTTTTCCGATGTTCAGGGATTCCAAATTTTTGGATCACTTGGAAAGAAGGAACAAAGGAAACTTGATTCTAGGCATACCATATTGGGGGGAAAATCAAATATACAGGCTACAGCTATAAAGTAGTAAGGCTGCATCTGTCTACTTATTACCATTATGTTAGCATATCATAGCCATATTTCACTTTTTCAAAAGTACCTAACAGAAACGGGACATGAGTAGACTCTGAGATTCTATCTACTTTTTACTTTTAAAAATGGAGTAACAGGGCAGCGAGGTGGTGCAGTGGATAGAGCACTGGCCCTGAAGTTAGGAGGAGTTCAAATCCAGCCTCAGACACATAACACTCACTAGCTGTGTGACTCTGGGCAAGTCACTTAACCCCAATTGCCTCACAAAAAAAAAAAAAAACGGAGTAACAAAGGCCCAAGGAGATTAGATGACTTCTCCAAAGCCCCACAGATGTTATTTAGTCAAGATCTGAATACTTCTTCCACTGTGCCATCATGTTGCACGCCAGTGTTCCCATGGCTGAAAAAAATGAAAGGGTAGAACCTTTCTGATTGCTTGAGTCACAGAGAAAAACCAGGCTCAAAATATCACCTGTATTGTCTCTAACATCACATAAATATAAGAAATCATTCCAACAACCAAGTTCCTACAATAACGACCAAGTTATTGAATCAAAGACAAAAACATTTCCAGTGGCCCCTTTTTCTCCCCGTCAATGGCTAAGGAATAGCATTCAGGAGGATGTGAATCTAACTTGGTTGGATCCTGTTTCCCTCCCCACACACACACTGATTGTCTCTTACATCAATCAAACCTATAGTGGGTTGTTATGGATGGAAAAATACAATACCTATCATGATGGGTTAAGAACTCTGCTAATTTAGCAAAATGAATGATAGCTGGAAGCATTTAGATAAGCTATCATTGACCCTGCCTCATTCTATTTTTCACACAGACATATTTTTTCCCTTTAAGTCAGATGATGAGATTTGCAATAGCATTAAAAAAAAAAAGTATACAATAGCTCTTCAGCTCCATGCCTGCTGAGTCTTAAAGAGCTATGATGAAAATGCTGCGCGACCATAATCTGTATGTTGGATTCCTTATATACACATCTCACCAAATGGACAGAACTGAAAATCCTCATTCACTTGCATTTATGTATGTATCATTTTTACTGTTACATTTTTTTGTTCAATAAACAATTTTTTTTTAAAAAAAAAAAAGGTTACACTAACATTTTATAATAAAAACTTTGTCAGTAGAAGGGTGATTTTTGAAAGAAGAAACATGACCAAACAGGGGTTAGATTCAGATTGCACTGATATGGAGTATGACCACCCAAGAGGTTTGGCGGGGAAAGGCAGCATCAGGTGGCAAAGGACTAAGTGAGCCATAAGCTGGGACTGACTCTGGCTTTGCTTTTCCCTGGGGGGAGAGGGATGTTCCAAGTTGGGAAATGAATCTGACTTCAAGAAGCCATCTCTTTTTAAGTACAATGCTGTCTCTTCTCCCGAGTACCTGTCAGAGCATTAACTCTCACCCAACTTTGCACCACATAATGTTCATGGTGGGCAGAGACATTTAAGAAATCAATCTAAGAATGCCACTTCTTTTGAGGGAAATTAATTAGGCATCTTTAAAAAAAAAAATAGAAGCATCACACATTTGAGTCTGGTTCTATGATCTCACACTATTTTTTTTTTTGGACTAGTGTATGTTCCAGGTCTGCCCATGGCATAGGGGCATGCCTAATTTGAAATATTCTATCTGGGGCAAAAAGCATAATTGCCAAGAATTAACTGTAGAACAGTAAGGGATCAGCAATGCAAAGAAGAGATGCAACAGTGCCAATCAGGTAAAGTTTTCATTTCCTTGTGAATGTGCAACATTTGTACTGATAATTCTGAATTTGCCATGGTTACCAATGTTGCTCAGGGTTCTAAGTTACCAAACATCAACCCCCCTTTCTGTTTTTGTTTTTTTTTTTCCACTTGCTTAGACATTCGTTTCTTACTTACCTCTGAGAACCTTGCTGGTTTTGGACAAAAGAGAACTTTTCTGAGGTTCAAGGTCCTTCCCCTGCTTTCGGTCCCGAGTGTCAGCCAGGTATCGTGTAGCAGCCAACCTGCTTCCTCAACACAGAAATGAGAGAGAAAGACACCTCCCCAGGCACCCCCAGCAAACACTGGTGATGTTTCTCCTGCTTTCTTGAGAGAATCAGGCTTTGGGGATGAAGCTACACAGGGAACACTCTGACACATCTGCCTCTAATGCACAGAACTTCTGTCCCCCCTGACCCACATTCAGATGAAAGCAGCCCTGACACAGCCACGGCCCCAGACAGGACCACAGGCGTCAGGCTCTTATCACCATTACTCCACTACCTAAGTATCCCAAAGGGTGGGAGACAGAAGGGATGACGGAGAGTAGCTCTACTCCACCCAATGGGACCTCTTCTGTGGAAGAATCACAATTCAACAAAACTGTATTTTAACAACATGGAGATTTTGTTATTATAAACTTCAAAACAAAACCAAGGAATTCCACATAATATTTATACTTTCAAAAGTACAATATTAATACGTGTTTGTCAGTTAGAAATAACAGCAGTTTGTTAGGTCTAAAACCAGTTTACAAATGCTGGAAAGCAGTAGTGGTCCAATATTCACCAGTATACATGAATCTGTTTCTTCCAGAAATTTAAAAAAAAAAAAAAAAAAACAAAACACAACCCAAAATAATTAAATTTACCAGTATCATGAACTATTAATAAAACACCCCCCAAACATGCCACAATCATTATTCACAAATAAAGTTAAAAGGAAATATACAAAAATTCACTTAATACTGTTAAATAACAATAAACTACAAGATTTCCTGAACAGAAATGGTAGGACCCCTGAATGTTTTACAGTGAATGTCAGGAAAAAATTTAAGTTGTCTATGACTATTTTCATGATATACCAGCCAGAGATTTACATGACCATTTCAAAATATCCCAATAAAGATTTACAGTCTGTAAGATGCACTACACAACTAATTGTTAAAGGTGAACACAAATGCTTAAAAACACTGTTCCCATCACCCAGCCAGGTGCATTCTAACACTGGATGAGATGCACAGGCAGGGCCGTAGCATCTGTCATCTCTGGTAAACAGAGGGTGGTGATGCTTTTTTAAAAGCCTCCAAGTTCTCATTTTGGGAAGAGTACTTCGTTGACCATGGCTCATGTCACGTATCTATCACAGCTTCCAGCTGATTCCAAGTGAATATCAGGGCGGGGAATAGGGAGGGGGAAAGTAGGAAATGAACTCAGTTCTCCAATGAAGAAAATCATCCTGCTTCTCACCAAATACAAGAAGAATATTTCAGAAGAATAACAGGATGGGGGGGGGGGGGGGGGTCTGAACGGATTTGTGTGAGTTAGTCCTCAATGGATCAAAACACAACATAAAATAAGGTCAATGTGCTGTATACCGTCGTTCAGGAGCATGCAAACATTGCTAAACTAGAGGTGACAAATAAATAATCCACATGGCTCAAGGCCCGGCCTTCTAAGAGGAAATCCTTCCTGCCTCCTGGCCTTCCTCCGCTTTCCCTCCAGGCAGGTGGGCAGGCAGGCAGGCATTCACCTTGTGTGTCACGTGCTTTTCTAAACATAATGTGCTTATAAATCTCGGAACTACCACATTGCCAATGTTAAATAAGAAATGGTCTCATGAACTTAGAGCATTAAATGGTTCACCTATTTACGATTAAGCAAAGCTAAGTTTACATTCCAGGAAACATTGCAGTTTAATAAAAATAACAAACCAACAAAAACCGCAGCAGTCCAACAGTTTGTGAGGAGAAACAGATGCATTCACATATCATAAAGCCACTGCAACTTCTTCAGGCATTCGACTGTTGTGTTAAATAGACAGACAGTAGTTACTTAGCAGCAATGATTCCGCAATAAATAATGCACTGTGTTTCTCAGTCCTGCACAAAAATTGCAGCTCCAGTTACAGCAACAGTTGTAACCGCCTGGCTCTAATGGCAGAGGAGACCTTAAAACCAACTGTACAAGAAATTGTCACACTGTGACAGCAAACATGAAAACACAATCTGCAGGTGGGAAATAAAAAGACTCCCCTGGGAAGCGGAGATCCCAAGGCCAGCTATCCAACTTAAAGGAGCATGCTCTGTCTGCTGTTCTTGCCGTGGCCTAAAATATGAAGTCACTGGGTGAGGCAGTTCAGAGTCCAGCGTTTACCCCACAGATTTGGTGACTCAAGGTCACTCCACGTTCCCGCCAGCAAAAGCTAAGACTCCGTGGTCAGGGCGACCGGCTCAGGCTTTTTTAATGAACCCGTCTGGGCCCAGGGTCAGTCTACAGCTTCCAAGTGGTGAACCTGAAGACTAGGGAAGCAGGAGGTGCATCGTCCGCTCTGGGTGCCGGGCATGGAGTGTTCCACAATCGAGCCAGGTCACTTGGAAAAGGTCTCTGTGTCATTGGCAGCCTTCAGGGCCCCTGACTTGACTGAGTCTGATTTTTTCTCTGAAGATACACTGAGCTGCCCACGTCATATAGAAAAGCGAGTTACGTGCAGTTCTAAAAGTATACCATTGTGGTATGCACAGGACACTGAGTTTCACATTAATAAAGTTACTAACCAATTTATAAACAAAAAGCTTGTTTCCATTCAGAAATTCAAGATCGACACGTGAAATGGTTTATTACAAACACACCTGTCTCTGGATAGGAAGAATTTCGAAAACCCGGGTCCTTTTGCAACTGAATTTCTTTCAAACTGAATATTGAGACACCTAGAATAAGGAGGAAAATATTTTGTTGAAACTATTAAACAAAATTTTAAAAAATGTTGGGACCCCAGTGCTTACTAAATATACTCTGCCCGGTTCCAAGATAGGAAGAAAATCAAGACATGTCCCCCCAAATAACTATTCCTCCTCCTTCTGTTTATAAGTGGTTTCTGCTGCCAACATCAACTTCTCTAAGCACAAGGTGTTATGCTCTGCTACGACAGACAAGGGGTAAATGAAAGGAATTTTACATCAATAGACCCATCTGTTGATGACTGCAAGGGGGAGGGGAAAGGAGCTAGTCACTACTCTTTTAGTCAGGTTGGGTTGTAGGACCGTGCCCCTAATGTAGCTTCAACTCCACGGAGAGATAAAGTGAATGAGAATGATCAAGACGGTCCTTCTCATGGGATTAAAATGCTTGAGTTCCAAACCTAAAGCTAAAAGTGCAACATCATTTGTCAGTCACAGTACGATTCACTTGCCTCTCCCCTCCTGAGAGAAGCATTATTTACTCAAAACATCTAAGAATTATTGAAGGAAATGAAAACTGTTACATCTCAATTGCAAATAACTTTGCCACTGATTGCTACCTAAGGATGAGCAAGTCAACTTTTTCTTTAGTTAGTGTCGGTGGAACCCAAGGATTAATAAATACTGGAAGGAGGCAGACAAGAGCTGGGATGTTGGCACAATTCTTACCTGTCTCACTTCCTTTTTAGGGTAAAAGTGTTGGAGGGGGAGCAGGAGGGGGAGGTGATAGGAGTAAAATGAGACGGACCAGACTTTTGACATCTTTACAAGTGTTACTTATTATCTTACTGAAAGTGACTGCCAATGACGTAAGTAAAAAAGATAAAAGGTTAATACCAAAGAAATCAATATCTAACACATTAAGAAAAAAATCCATTTCTAAAAGGAAATCTTTGAGGGTCTTGAAATGTTGATCTTTGCTTGACAACAAAGCCACTGCTCTTGGGCTGGTGATCATGTCACATTTGTCTCCTACTACAAAAGGCACAGTTCAGTTTCATCCCAAAGTTAATTGCTATCATTCACCTTTAATGTACTAACGGGGTACACAGGAAGGAATGGAAATAGCATGAGACCATCCCCCTTTTGGAATTCTGACCCAATTATGGAAAAGACTAGGCTCTTAGGTTTGAAAGACAAGCTTCAGAATTTCTCTTACTTTCAGGTAAAGCATGTATTCTTGTTCCCAGACTCCGAAAGTATGCATGTTTCATGGCTTCCTCTGCTGAAATCCTTTTCTTTGACTCATACTGTGAAAAAACCAAAGGATCATTTCATCAACTTTTCCTGGAATCAATCCTAACAGAAAAAAGAAAACACTGAGAAATACTGTATTGAGGGCCTCAATTTCCCTATTCTTGGTCATGTGACACAATGACTATTTTATACAGAAGTTTTATGTACATCAGGCCCATTTATAAATCTAGGTTCCTACTTTAAACTAAGATGGAGGAAAAGTTGTTTTCTAAGAATGAATCTTTTCTAACACATAATTCAGATCTCTTTTTAGGTCTTCAAATGACAAGAATCAAGACTGGGATAAGCTGATTTTGGATTACTTGTCCTTTACAAACACAAAGGAGTAGAAGAATACTGTAACGAACTGTCCATAATTATTTTGCAACCTAATGCATTAAGTCCCTGATGCCTCCATTATCTAAATCTACTCCATGACTATAATCTTTGCAAGCTTCAAGGCAATATACTATGGCTAGGCAGCACAGAAGCTGGAAGATTCCACCTCAGTTCCCAAGTGAAAGCAATGATCAAAGAAAAATCTACACTTCCCTGTAGGCAAATCTGCACAGCTAGTAATATGGCATGTTAATGTTTCAGCATTAAGCCAGTACACACGTGTCTAAACATGAAAAGATGGGTCAATTATCCATCAGTTATGGAATCTTACTGACAATCAGCAAAACAAAAGACAAATCCCCAGATGATAAACTCTGTGGAATATCTACAACAATGCTGCCTTTAGTGAGCTTGGGGGCGGGGGCACCGAAAGAGGTGTCAGACAGGAAGTGCATCATCCAGATAAATCAAAATCTCCCTTCACTCCTTCCAAGTGCCTTTTCAAACTTTTTCGTTTGAAAGCTTCTCACTGACCAAACTGAGGCCATGCACAAAGAGCACGCTCTGCTCTTCTCCCCTCAGAGGCTTTTTCCTGCCATCTCCTCCTTCACTTGAAGAAGCAGCCCTTCGTGCCGAGGCAAACACATCCCACAGCTCCCCTGCTGTGGCTGAGATCCTTGACAAGGTCGTCTGGAATGGCAGCCTCCATGTCCTGTCACTTCTACGGTTTGGTTCCAGGCTTCATCATCCAACTCAAACCACCCTCCTACATCACTACTGATCTCTTCCAGGCCAAATCCAGGGGCCACCTCTCAATGCTCATCCTCCATAACCTCTCTGAAGCCTAATGCACCATCATTCACCCTCTACTCTCTTTTCTCTCTCTCTGGCTCCCTACCTACACATCTGACTCCTCCTTCTGTCTTTTACTGAATCTTCACCCAAGTCATAACTGCTAACTGAGGGTGTCCCTGCAAAGCTCTGTCTTGGGCCTTCTTCTCTCCTCAGAGACTGAGAGCTGGAAGAGGTCTTTGTGGTCACTGGGTCCAATGCCCTCATTTGACACATGAGAAGCCTGCGGCCCAGCATGAAGTGTCCTGCTTGTACAAACACTACATTTCAGAGGCAGAACTCGAATCTGGGTCTTCCTGACTCTGACTCTAGTACTCTCTATGCTATACCATACTATCTATTATTGCAATACATAGGCATTTTCCTACAAGTTTTAATTAACCCATTCAAAATGGCTCCTCAAGAGCCTACTACAACAAGTAGGATGTACTTGGGGACACACGACAAAGACAGAGAATCTCCCTGCCTCTGAGGACCTCACAGTTCATTAGGGATGAAGGAATACATAAAAATATAATTACACACTCAGATATTACAAGTGGGAAGGAGGTCACTTCCAGCTGGAGAGCAGGCAGGGGGAAGGGGGAAGGAAGGAAGGGAACAGAGTGAGAAAGGCGTGGATGGCTATGCGAAAGAACGGTCTGTGCTCAGCTCGGCTCAGCGGAAGCTGGGGGAGATAAGCCTGAAGCAGACCAGAGGGAGTCACCAATGCCAGGATAAAAACTTTATTCAGTAGATTGTGGGGTGTTGATGTAGGTTTTCTTTTCTTAAGGGAAAAACATAATCAGACCTGCACATTACCAAGATTGAGGTGGGACAGGAAGAGACAGGGGAGACCAGGAAGAGGCATTTCCTGAGATTCACTAAGTTATACATTCTTTAATGACAGATAATAGATGCTGTCATAATGGGACGTCTCTACACATAAAGCTCACATTTTCTTAGAAGAGTGGAGGAAAAATAAAACCTGTTTAGGAATTCCAAAATAAAATGCTAAATGTCATGCTTCTTGGAAAAAACATGATATGTGAGGCCAAGTTTTCTTACCGAGCTGGGCTCCAAGCACTGCACTGCTGCCCGGGAGGATGGACGTGAACAAGGCCTGCCCTTGCTAGCTCCCTCTACAGCTGAGACCCAGGGAAACCAGGTGCCTGTCGATCCAGAATTCACAGGTCCCCCAGCTTGGAGAGGAAGTTAGGCGACCCTTGCTGTCGCATTCCACTCTGAACTAACTATCTGCTTCTTATGGTGCACGTCTGCCCATCTGACATTTTAACAATTAAAATGTAATGCACAACTTACCTGAAGAAATCTCGTTATCAGTTCAATTCCTTCAGAGTCTAGTCTGGGAACAACAACAAAGAAGTGATCAGTTTTACCTTTTGCCTTAACTGCCAGAATGTTCAAAAGCGCAATGTACTGACCCGGTGTTGTCGTCCGCTAACTCTGGGGCCTGGAAGCTCTTATTCAGGCGGACTCTGTTCTAGGCTCAAACGTCTCATCTAAACACTGTGTGTCAGTTAGAAGCAGCCTCACGTCCTCTGAGAAGTGGACAGGATGTGAAACTGAAGTCTCATCGGGCCAATGTTTATTAATGTTATGAAAAAGGCAGAATGCTGGCAGAACAACCAACACCTTGCCTTATGTAGGGGAAAGACCTGTTCCCACATCATAGGCCAATTAATTCTTCCAATGGCCCTCTGAAGAAAGGATGATGCAGAAGACAAAGCAGAGCCCTTGTTGGGAGGCGACTGGCCCCTAACTACACAGGACGTCCTGGGAGTTGGTCTGAGGAGTCAGAACGTACAAAGGAGGGTGTGTACGGTCTGAGGTACCTGAAGGGACGCCGTCAAGACAAGACCATGGCTCCTGCCCTGGTGGAGCTTATAATCAATAACAGTGAAAGACCAAACAATTAAAAACCACTTCTAAGTCAGCATTATAATTAATTAAGTATATTGCATGGAAGGATGTTAGGGAGTCTCCTGACAATTATGATTCCTTCGCCACAAATCTGGTGCTTTCTCCTGCAGTCTCATGTGCCTGTAAAATTCATGGGTAAAAGCCAGCCTTCTGTGAGAGCTTTATGGAAGTCCTGTGTCAGTATCTGGACCCAACAGAACTGCCCCGGCCCGGCTTCTTGTGGGAGGCCAACTTCCAGCATCCGGCCACTTTTTCCCATTCCTGCACACTCCACTATTGTGATACACTCAGCACTGACAGGAAGCCAGCTCCTGGGGCCCCACAATACTGGCTCACTAGAAAGTAGGGAGCTTAAAGTGTAAAAATCATATCAGAGATGGCTATACAAACCATTTTTTAAAACTTCTCAAGAGTAGACCTGGAAAAACCGGCAAGAAGCCCATACTACAAATACATAGATGGTAATAATTACGTGATTTATGGAACAGAGAAGAAATGTGGTATAAAAATGACACTGCATTTCTCTACGTTACGTCAGTTGCTACAGTGACAACAAACAGGCCCCCCCCCCCCCCACTGAGTCCCATGAGTGGTTTGAAAATATTTTTGGTGTTAGTAACAATTCTGCTGATCTTTCAATTGCCTCGAGAATATAAAAAGGCACACTTTTTGAGTCTGAGTGTTGTCAGCAAAGGAAATGGGTAGGGGGCCATGATCAAGCTTAAGTGTAGAAAGAGTTAAAGGGCCAAGATGTAGGAACCACGGGAAAGAAGTTGCTACTGCCAAAGCAGCTGAGACCTCTCTACAGTGACCCAGAGATCCCAGTGCTGGGCATCTGCCCCCAGGAGGTCAAGGCCAGAAGAGACAAGTTTCTTAAATAACAAAGCACACAGCAGCACTTCTGGCGACAGCAAAGTCCTGGAAACAAAGGAGATCCCCAATGACCTGGACTGGCTAAACAAACCGTGGTTCAGGTGTGTAACGAAATATGACTGTGCCACAAGGTACTATGAATATGATGAAAATGGAAGACTCACATAAGCCGATGAAGAGTAAAGTCATATAAGCCAGGCGAGGAAAAAAACAGACACAATGACTACAACAATGTATGTGGACAGAACTGCCACAAAATAACTGAAAACAAATATTGCAAAATTACAAAGAAAATGCAAAATTACAAAGAAAAAGCCTGGCCCCAAAGGAAAGATGTGAGGAAACAGACTGCCCCCACCTCCCTGACAGAGACGGGAGGTGCTCTGGGGTGGAGCACCACGTACATTGTCAGAAGACTCCAAATGAGGCAAGATGCCTGGTGGGTGTGCACTGTGAGTGGCGAGATACTTCCAGGGATCACTTTTGCTGAAGAAGGGGTGGAAAGAACACGTCCCTGGGAACCCATATGGGCAGAAAAGAAGCAGGCATGGTCATGGAGGGATGACAGACGAGCAACGAAGGCATGGAGAGGATAGCCAGGTGGTGTCAAAAGAGCAGGGAGGGCCTCCAGTGTCCCGTGCGGTAAGAACCCTGGGGACTACCAGAATCACAAACGATAAACCAGCATGAATGGGAAGGAAGAGGACACACAGCATGAATGGGAAGGAAGAGGACACACACTGGGTGTGATCATGGACCCACTGAGGTCATGGGGAAGAAGCTTCCACAGAAAGCAGTTCTCTAACATGCCCTCATACTTACACAAAAATAAAGTATGCTTTAGATGCTAAGGTAATTATGGTCTCTAAAATTTCCCTTTACCTACTTCTTTCTTGATCATTTTGTGCCAATATGCACATTAATGTTGTTTTTCAAAGTGAAAATGGCTTTTCCCAACAGAATAAGAAGGTAAGAAAGAGCGACATGTCCCAGAGAGCAAACACAGACTCAAAGTGTTTGCTCCATGTCTTCTCACATACTGTGAGGCAGGCATGTGCCTAGAAGGAGCATTTTTAACAATCACAAAAGTCATACAATCTTTACTGGTGAAACAAACAAACACAAAATACCTGGGTGCATGATTGATTAGAGGCTGTGGTTTGTATTTAGGAAAGTTGTAGTTCTTGAACTCATCATTGGAAGAAACACCTGGCCAAGTTTCTTGAGATGGTGTTCCTGGGTTTTAAAAGAATATATACACAATTAATTCCATCAGAAATAAATAATTAGAAATGAAGATCACTATATCCCAGGCTGCCTCCATCAGGAGAGGTCAGCCGCCCCTCACGCTCTCTCAGATCTTTTCATCTCCCTTTTCTGTGTCCTCTTCCCTCATTACAATGCAAGCACCTAGAGGGCAGGGACCATATTTCTTATGGCTTGTATTTGTAACCACAATGCTTACATTTCAGTGCCGGCACACACAGAGTAAGCAGCTATTACATGCTTATTAAGTGTCACTGAAACAGAAAAGGGTCAGAAACCTTACACAAGTCTGGATTTATGTGAAATGCAAAATTAGGCCACGGGAACAAAAATGTCTACATCTTTTCCATCTACCTGTCAATAAAGCTAGCGCTTACTCAATAGTAAAATAGGAGACAACTTAACAAGGGCATGGATCACCTTGAGTTGCTGACAGCCCAAGAACCCTTTCAGCAGCCCTTTGGAAATCAGTAGGACAGAAGAGCTGGGAGTATAGGGTGACTATTTCATCAGCAGTAACAGTTATTCAAGTCAATCTCCACATCTAAAGGTTTTAAGCCTACCTATCTTTAGATAGCACATGTGTGCAATGGATTCTTTTGCATACATCTACATAAAGAAACAGGTGCATACACAATGTTCAATAAATAGCGCAGCCAGCAGACAAGAACGGAGCCTAGAACCAGGGTGGTCACACTTCCGTGGTGGCGGATAGTTCTGGGCACAATGTTACAGGAAGGACATTAATAAAGGTTCTTGTGGGCTACTCCAGCAAAGGATAAGCTTTGGCAGTTCTGACCAGGCTGGAAAGATGCTGCACACTGGTCAAGTGACAGCCTGCACGCCTGTTCCAAAGGACCAGTCTGGATAAGTTTGGAAACACTCAGCACCAAGTGGAACTAGAGGGGGGTGAATTTTTCATGCACAACAAATCTCAAAGCCTGTCTGCTGAATTAGAGAGGATCCACATCAAATGATATAAGCTGGAGTATGTCCAGATGAAGGCAATGAAGGTGGGGCTGAACTCAAAAACAAGTCATCTGAAGGAACTAAGGATGTTTAACCTGGAGAAGAGGAGACTCAGGGGGAGACAGAATCATTCATGCGCCAATATTTGAAGGGTTGCCATGAGACAAGACACTTGGCTTTGACTCCAGAGGCCAGAACTATGCCCAAGGGAATGATGTGAAGTGAGGCAGATATCAATTTAATGTTAAGGAAAACTCTCCTAAATCTCAGAGCTGCCCTCAAATGGGATGTTCTGCCCCAGTAGTCAGCAACTTCTTCATAAGTGGAAAGATTTAAGCTGAGGCTGGATGAATACTTATCACTAGTATTGCAGAGAAGATTCACAATTTTCACAATTTAAAGATTTTCTCCAAGGTAAATCATCTTTGAGGTTCCTTTGAATCATCAGAATCTATGATTCTACCATTTTGCAAAATGCTGGAATCGTGCTATGAAACTGACTAAAATGTTCAAACTCTGACCCAGAAATCCTATGGTTCAAAGAGATCAATGACAAAAAGAAAGGTCCTATAATAAACCAAAAATATTTACAGCAGTATGTTTTATAACAAATCACCTTTGATTGGGGAATGACTAAACAAATAATGGCATGTCAATGTATTGGAAGATTACTGGATTGTAAGAAATTATGTATATGTGGAACAGAGTGAAGAATGGAGGGATTTCTATGAACTGATGCAAAGGCAAGACAACAGAACCGGGAAAGAATAACACAAAACATCAAAACAACCTTGTGAAATTATGGAAAGGCACCTCCCTCATCCACAACGTAACAAACCTGCTTTCACCTTAAACCTCTTCTCTCCTTGGACACAGTCTCTACCCTGGCGCAGGCCCTCATCACTGAGCCTCTGGACTGTGGCCCTTTGCCTCAGGCCACTCCCCACTCCCGTCCATCCTGCACTTAGCTATCAAAGTGATCTTGCTAAGGAAGGCCTTCCTAGTTCTGGCCATGTCACTGCCCTAGTCAACAACTCCCTAGCCTCTCCAGGATCAAGTATAAAGGTGTCTTGGCTGTTCGAAGCCCTCGTGTCCTGGGCCGTCTCCCCTCCCCTTCTCTCCCACTCCTCCCTGCCTGCAAGTCTTCCTAGACCTTACTCAGTGCCATGTACTATGATCCACTGCCATGGGCCTTCTGCTATCCCTCTCGACACGTTCCCTGGCAGTCCCTCTGGCCTGGAAGGCTCTCCTTCCTCATCTCTGTCTCCTGGCTCCCCTGGCTTCCTTCAAGTGTTCTCTAAAACAGTACCAAGCCATCATGCTGGTGCCTTCCCTGTGAGGTGATCTCCAATTTGTCTTGTCTATCCCTTGTCTGTAGACAGTTACATTGTGAGCTCCTGGAGAGCATGGATTGTTTTTTACCTTTCTTCTTAGCAGAGGGCCTGACTCATCAAAGATGTTTGCTAAATGCTGACCTACTCAATGACTTCCTTGACTGTGAAGATTGGGTACTAAGGGTGTGGAATACTTCAGAGAATGAGGTCAGACTTGGCTCCACTTTCTTCTCGTTACTTGGTCATCTCAGCTTTTGATGGTCCACACCCACTCTTCTGCCTCTCCCCCCTGACTGAGGGCCAGAGGGCAGGACAGTAAACTCCTCCCAGAGCCTTAGGGCTCTCGGATCCCCCAGCTCTCACCCCACTTTTTCTGCAGCCTTTTCCCATGGGGTCTTTCCCCAACTAGATTGTAAGCTCCTAGAGGGCAGGGTCTGTTTTTCTTCTTATTTGTATCTCTAGCACCTAGCACAGGGCCTGGCATACAGTAGATGTTTACTGAAATGAACTGTTATAGGTCTTCTCGGAGAGGGGACATAGGGGAAATGAAGAGGATGCAAAAAACGAGACATCATAACAACTTTAAGAATATACTCAACAAATAAGGCAGGAAACATGCAGGTACAGCCTGACAGAGAAGAAAACAACTATTACCGAGCAGCCGGAAGATTAGGTGCAGCTCATCCTCCACTGTAGAACCTGGAAAAAGGGGTCTTCCTGATGCCATTTCAAAAAATATGCAGCCAACACCCCTTTAGAGCGTGCAATAGAAAAAAAAAAAAAGAAATCAATTCATACAGGAGAAAACATCACCCACAGTCTTCTTTCCCTTAACATTTATCTGCTACACAGTCTCCCGCCCAGATTTCTCAGCTCCAGGCACACTAAGGCACCTCCTGGACATTTTCCTCGCCTGCCTGCACTCGGTTCCCCCTGCCTTTGGACTTCACCCTGATTAAAAGTCCTGGTCCTATTCTCCACTACCCTACAAAAGCATCCTTGCCTGCCCTCGCTCCAGACCAAAATGCCTTTCCTTACCACACACTCCACTCTGCACATCACAGCATTCTAACTCCAAGAGTTCTTACTTAGTGAATATTGTTTAATATTTTTCCTTGTAAGTGCTCACCTTTTGAATGTTCTGTGTACTTTGGCTCTATGACCAGGTTGTCAATTCTTTTTTAAAAACAGATTTTTATTGATATGTTTTGTTTATACATCACCTATATTTTCCCCTTCATCCTTCCCTATCCAAGAAAGCCATCCCTCACAACTGGAGACGCAGAGATAGAACCCTACCTTAAAAGAATTTACAATCTAGTTGAGATAAAAACAGCGGAACCAGGATAGCAATAAGATTTAAAATAATTGTTCAAGACCAGATAAAAACACTTTAAAAGTCAGAGGATGAATCTGTTTCATTCAATAAGTGTTGCAGACAATAAATTTTACAGAAGCTTGAGGAAGGTGAGATCCCCTGAGGCTGGATCATTCAGGAAGACTTGCAGAGGCTGTTCCAGGCAGGAGGAGGCATAGGAGCAGGCAGATTATCAGAAGCATGCTGCACTGTGGCAGGAGAGCATATGACATCTCCAAAGGGAAGTGAAGAAGCCAGCCTGAGTGGGGCAGAGGGCTCCCTTATGGAAGCGGGCAGAGGCAAGACTCAGAGGCTAAAGTTACACGGGAAAGGGGATGGATGGTGTTGTGAGGAGTGCTAATTAAATGGAATTACCTTTAATTTCATTAACATAATAACAAGGACACTGAACCTAACGGCCTGCAAATGAACATTCCTTCTGAGCCAGGCTGGTCTGCTAAGCTATGTGGGGGGTTGTGATCTGTATCCTCAACAAGGGGACTCACGCCACCAATGAAATGCACCGCATTTTTAAATACAAACTGTTACCACCACCAACCAGCCAGTCAAACGTGGTATAAGACATTATGTGTCTGAAGAAGAAGGTGGGCTGGCCACGTAAGAGCGCCCCCTTACAGAGCACTTCAAGGCTTACAAAATGCTTTTCACATACTACACGTCACTGGATCCTCACAGTAACCACGAGCCGGGAATTATCCTGCCCATTCAATGGCTGAGGAAACAGGCTCTGATGTTAAGTGTCTTGCTTAGGGGCACACAGCTGGGATCTCGAGTGGGATCAGAACAAAGTCTACCTGACTCCAAGTCAAACCACCTCTCCTATGAAACAACCCAAGAAGGAGGCTGGCACCCGCCTCCACGGTGCTAAGAGAACTCGCCAGAAGGCTGCCAACACCGGGGGCTGCTCCTCTGTGGAGGTCATGTGGAGAAAGCATGGACAAGAACAGCACAAGGGAATGAGACAGAGAGAGGGGGTGACCTGAACGGACGGAAGGAACGCCCGCACCAGTGAAATCCACCATGCCCACACACTCACCACATATCGATCTGTGTCGAGTACTCTGAGGAGCCCAGGAGAACGTCAGGTGGCCGGTACCAAAGCGTGACAACTTCATTTGAGTAGGTCTTTGTGGGAACTGACTTGGCTCTTGCTAAGCCTTTATAGGAAAAACAAAATGTGTAAGAAATATAGGGCTGGGGATTTAAAAAAAAAAAAACTTTATATTCCTACCTTGCAATCCCAGTTTCATAAGTGGGCTACTTTTGATGACTACTTATAGCTGTTCAAAACTCAACAGAAGCTGAAGCTGAAAAATGCCAACTCTTCCCACATCTAATGAAAATGCTATTTTAATGAAGTACCTCCTTCTTCATAGTGTCACCTTGATAATGACTTCCGAGATGGAATCATTACCACACCCCAATATGACAAGCACATGCTGAGATCTAGGGTTGATGGGCTGTTTTCATAAGCCTACTCTCCCCTCCTACCCTATTTGGAATTTCTTTTGCTGGACCCTTAAGATTATCAATTCACCAACCACTATCACTGTAAAGAAGTCTCAAGGCACTCCAAGTAATTTCTGAGAAGCAGTGACACAGAATTCCCTGATAAAGACAAGACCCACTGAGATAAACAAAAAAATTCCTTTCTTCACCTATTATTCAGGTAAAAAGGTTTTAGCTTACTCGGAAAGACACATGTCTCTTTCTAAAGGACTTCAGAGTCCATCAAAGTTGCATGAGCAAAAGGCATGCATCCCAGGGCTGTTTCTATGGATACCGCTCCTTCTGTAATATGAAATTCATGGCCACTGAGAAAAGTCAGGTGGAATTCACATCTGTTTCTCTGAACCTCCACTATAGGTGGTGCCATAGTGGATAGAGCGCCGGGCTTGGAGTCAACAAGACTGATCTTTCTTGAGTTCAAATCTGGCCTCAAATACTTACTACCTCTGTGACCCTGGGCAAGTTCCTTTACCCTGTTTGCCTCAGTTTCCTCAACTGTGAAATGAGCTGGCGAAGGAAATAGCAAACCATTCTAGTATCTCTGCCAAGAAAACTGATCAAAATATTACTATTAAATTATACAATTTTTACGTGTTTGGGAATGGAGTAATTTTAAAAGTTATTCGAAATGTAAAGACAGGTATGCATGCATATTACATGTGATTTTAAAGATGCCTAATTGTCTATCAAAAATATCAAGACTCTACTATCAAAAATACATACATGTGTATATGTGTGTACATATGTAAATGCTCAAAAATATTTCACTAACTCATTCAACTAAACCGGTCGTCAGAAATTTTCAACAATTTGAAACACAACCGTTTTCGTGCTATCTTGGTTTTATGGCTTTATCTAAATAGGACCATGAATCACAATCATGTAAATCATGTAACTGCCTATTTTAAGCTCCATCTCCGCCCCCATCTGGGGGGGGGGGGGGGCCAGAACCACCACCATGCTAGTGCTACATCCCCTCTCCTGTCTATGCTGCTGCTTTCCCGCTTAGCAAGAACAACCAGGGCTGCTCTCAGAAGCTCCCAGGTGAGCAAGCAGAATCTGCTGGAATACCAAAGGGTCAAATGTAAGGAACTGTCAGGGATGAGGGACAACTAGCCAGACGTCGGAGGTGGTGCCCCCACTGCCCCCCATGCTCTTTATCTCCATGTCCCTTCGGGCTCCCATGAGCTGTAGCAGCAGGCTTCCCAGCACGGCCCTGGCCAGGAGGGAACTGTGGGAGCTTTTACTGAGTAGGCTTGGTCAGGGGACCAGGGCATTAGCTCAATGTTCTGAACTCCAAGGCCTCGGGTGAGGATGGGGCAGCGATCGAGGCCGGAACAACTGGTGAGTCTTTCTTCTGACAGCCCCAAGCTGCTTCACCATAAATACAAGGCATTCTGAACAGATGGCCCCCTTTCCAGCACTCTGCCAGTCATCTCCCTTTTCCTCTTCTATCTCATAAACACCTTTATACAAGAGCTTCAACTTCCTCATCCTAAGCATCGTCACCAGGAATTCCACTGGGACAAGGGAAAGAAGAAGGGAGATCTTGATGAACTTTTCACTGATTACTGAGTAGTTTTCTATGAGTCACTGCTTCCTGTTAAGTGGAAATGAGAATTCCAAAGCTGAAGGAAGAGGGCTGAAGATGACTAGACAAGAAGCAATGTTTACCCAATGACTCCTGCTCACCTTGAACCTTCTCCCCTTCTCTTTACATGGTCACACACCCGAATTTCATTCAGATGATTAAGCAAGCAATAAATGGCCATACTATTGTAACTACTGAAATGCTCTTGAACCACAACCAAGATTCAACCTGTATTAAAGTACTTGCTGTATATAAAGCCAGCCAAGATGAGAAGGAAAACAGAAAGCTGAGAAATTTTTTTTACAGCAAGTTTCTCTGATAAAGGTTTCATTTCTCAAATTTATTGAGAATGGTCAAATTCATAAGAATACAAGTCATTTCCCAATTAATAAATGGTCAAAGGATATAAACAGGGAATTCTCAGAGGAAGAAACTAAAGTTATCTATAGTCACATGAAAAAATGTTCTAAAATCGCTTTTGATTAGAGAAATGCAATTAAAACAATCCTGAGGCACCCCTTCACACCTATCAGACTAACTAATGACAGAAAAGGAAAATGATAAATGTTGGTGGGGATGTGGGAAAATTGGGACAACAATGCACTGCTGTGAACTGTGAACTCCCAACTGTTCTGGAGAGCAATTGCCCCTGTGACCCAGTAATACCACTGTTAGGTTTATATCCCAAAGAGGTTTAAAAAGGGGGGGGAGGAATCTATTTGTACAAAAATATTTATAGCAGCTCTTTTTGTGGTGGCAAAGAATTGGAAAGTGAGAGGATGCTCATCAATCAGGGAATGGCTGAACAAGCTGTGGTATGTGACGATGATGGAATACCATTGTGCTCTTTACAAGAAACGATGAGCAGGATGGTTTCAGAAAAACCTGGAAAGACTTTCATGAACTGATGATGCAAAGTGAAGTGAGCAGAACCAGAACAGCGTACACAGTAACAATAACACTGAACGATGGTCGGCTGTGAATGACTCAGCTCTTCTCAGCAATATGGTGACCCAGGGCATTGCTAAAGAACTCACGATGAAGAACGCTATCCACCTCCAGAGAAAGAACTGTGGAGTCTGAATGCAGATCAGAACACACTACTTACTTTATTTTGTTTTTTTTTGAGGGGTGGGGGTGGGGGTGCAGGGGTCTGTGTTTTCTTTTAATACATAACCAATACGGAAATGTTTTGCATGATTGTACATGTATAACCTATATCAAACTTTTTGCTGTCTCGGAGAGGGTAAGGGGAGAGTAAGAGGGAAAGAATTTGGATCTCAAAAAATTTTTTTAAAGAATGTTCAAAATTATTTTTACATGTAATTGGCAAAAATATTATTTCAAAAAAGAAAGTCAATGTAGTTCAATTTTCAAAATGCTCTTTTACTTATTCTAGACCCTAGAACTGTACAACCACCCAAATTTAACAAAAAGTAGTCTTGATATCCTAGGTTGGTACTCTAAAACTAAATCTTTTAAAATAAATAAGGTGGCAGAAGAAAGAAGATACTGAATTTCATTTTATTTTTTGCTCTTAACTTCTTATTCACTAAGAGGAAAAAAGTGGGTGAGCATTTAATTGTGTAAATGATGGTGCAGAAAGCTAAATCAGAGTCATGGACCAGCAGGCAAACAAAACTGGTGCTCTCTCTGAGCAATTAACCCTATGCACAGTTTTAGGGTCACAGAATATCCGGACCCCTCCTCCCCCAAGATCCCAACTCTCAGATATCCTATCTTTTCAGTTACAGGGATATGATAGAAAGAAAACCATCAATGATTGTTCCTATATATAGGCGACAATTTAACTACTCTTATGATATTTATAAATACTTTATGTTTCATACCAAAATCTGCTAGCTTTAATTCTCCTTTCTCATTAATGAGGAGGTTCTGCGGTTTCAAGTCTCGATGAAGCACCTTCCTCCTGTGGCAGTAGGCCAAACCACGAAGAATCTGGTATAAAAAAAGCTAAAAAACAAAACAAAACAGAACATGCATACATACACATCCCAGATAAACAGAAATCAGTCTGATGGGCCAATATACATTCCTTTGATTAAATAAATGAGTAACTTTAAAGCAATCAGATTGTCTTGTATAGGGAAAACCCACATCCGAGGCTGAAAACCATTTGGCTTTGCCATGTTCTCAAATTCACAGTACTGTTTCTCGTGGTGTAAGAGCTTATTCACAAAAAGACAACATTAGACAACATTCCAAAATACAGCAATGAATATTTTAAATAATTTAAATATTTTAAACGTCTGCTCTTTGTTATGAGATGTAATTTAAAGTAATTAAGCTACACGTAATTTAGATATACCCCCCCAAACTGCTTGTGAAATTAAATGTGTTAAAAAATAGACCTAGGATCAAGGATGTAAGGGTTGGGGGACTCTGGGGTCAGGATGGGGGGTTGGGAGAGAACTCCTAAGAGGTCACAAAAACAGAAGCAAGAGAATGATGGAAAATAAGGTTTATAATTATAATGTGTAATTATGTTATATAAAGGAGCTGAGCTAGTAACATGCAGCTGATGCAACACAGAGCCCAAAGCTCTATAGCATATAATTATCCTCGAAGGTTGAAAAGTTTTGCAAATGCTCGCTTTAAAATTACTATCCTTACCAACCTTTCTGCTAAGAGAAATAAAGGTTCTGTTGCTAGATTCCGCCTCCCCACCCTCTCCCAATTTTCTTTAAGTCACTGTTGATAGCTTATACAGCAATCCAGTGCAACAAACATTTATCACTTATGCTGTGCTGGAAGCACAAAGACAAAACAAAAAACAAAATGAAAAGTTGCAGCCCTCAAGGAGCACTGTGTTAGGGAGGAGAAGGAAACAGAACATGTATACTAGTAAGTATTGTATAAGGAAAACTGGGCTGGGGGGAGAAAGAGAAGAAGGAGAGGGACAAGGAGAGACAGACAGAGAGAGAGGGGGGAGAGGGAAGAGGGAGAGAGACAGAGATACAGAGAGAACGAGAACACACATCATTAATGTGTAATAGTGAAGTATTTAGGGGTTGGGGAGGGTAAGAGAGGAACAAAAGTTTCATGGAGAAGGTGATTTCTGATTTGGGCCTTAATTAAAGGAAGACAAGGACTCTGACAGGTTGAGTTGAGGACATTTCTAGGCACAGACAAGGGTGTGCACACAAGAGGGGAGTACTGAGTTCAGAGAACGGAACAGCTTTCTGGCTGAAATGTAGCATTCAAGGGGCTGGAAAGGCAGGGCAGAAAGGAAGCAGCTTGTGGAAAGCCTCCAATGGCAGTCTGGGAGTTTGTATTTTATTTCTCTGGAAATGGAGAAGCATGGAAAAGTTTTTAGCAGGGGAACAACATGGTCCAATCTGGGCCTTAAGGGAATGGCAGCTCTGTGAAGAACAAATCAGACATGGGAAAAGACTAGAGGAAGGTAGGGAGACCAATCAGGAGGCCATTCCAGTAGTGTGGAGAAAATGATGAGGGCCTGACCTAATGAACAGCCAAGACAAAAGATGCTGTGAAGCGACAAGGGAGAAGAGGGCTCCCCAGTTACAAAGCTTAACTGACCGAGGGTTATGGTGCCTTCGATGGAAATGAGGAAGCCTACAGGAGGAGGAATAGTTAATGGTTCTGTTCTTTTTGTATAATTTTGAAGGTGAAAACAGAAGGAAAGTAAAAACCACAAATCTCTATCACAACCCAAACAAAACCCACAGGGAGGAGGGAAACAATTCTGTTGGAATGCACAGGAAGCCCAACTGCATTTGGATGCTCACCAAACCCCACTGCCACTCTATGTTCTGAGCTATCTTTTACTAGCTCAGATTGATTTTATTTTGCAAATACTATTTTTTGCTAAATTTACTAATAAAAATAGCAAATGAAGAATCAATTTAAAGTTCCCACCTGAAGAACTGAGAATGAGTCAAATGCAGCCATGGTACCACCTATGTGCACAAGGGCCTCATAGCAAACGGTGGCTGAATGGACTTGCGTGGGCCCATACACATTTTAAGAAGTTTTGATCCAAGTTTTTTTTTTTTGAAGAATAACCACTTTCTTTCACTCACTTCACCATTCTTTCCTGAGTTTTGAACTCCATTAGTATTGTCCCAAATATGATATCACACAGTGTTCCTTTCATCCTCAGATTTACAGATGACAGAACTGAGATGGGTGGGATGGTTAAGTGACATTTCCCACTGACTATGTACAGCCTGGAGGTGAAGCTGGAATGAGACACCATGCACGCTGATCTCACCACTGTCGCTATCCTTATGTAATAGATCCCAATCACCTTTTACTGCTCACCATCTAAAGGAACCCTTCAGTGAAATTCACCGGGGTTGGTTTTCTTTTTTTCCCCTTCTTTTATGTGTTTATTTTTAACGTCCATTTCACAGGGCGGCAGTGATACCAAGGAGAAGGGCACTTCCTTTCTAACAGCTTTGGCAACGTTCCCGTGGGCTTACCGCACTCACCTTCACATTGTGCATACTCATGATGTTGCCACAGTCGTCCATGTACTGTTTCAAATCTTTGTCCTACAAGAACAGAGCAGCAGAACTTAGTACGTGACACACAATGCTCAAAATCCAAGTTCTTTCTAAGTATTCAATTTCAAATAGAACGAGCTATTCTTCAGGCAAGGCTACCAGAAGCTCAGCACCTGGAAAGGCAAGTGCTTCTGAAAGCTGCATCACCACACTCGTGTCCCGCTGGAATCAGGGGCTCCTCTACCTAGGGCTCTAGACTCCAATTCTAAACCTAACCAGCATCCTGCTGTTCCCTCCTTTCCCCTCCCAAACAATCACATGCTTCTCTCAATCATCTGCCCGGGCACAAACACCTATCACGTGACATCTCTTCCGATGCTCTCATCTCTATCTGGCTTAGTCATGCCCCTTCCTCAGCATCCCTTTCCTAAGGCCTTTTGGGGCGTCTATCTATTCTACGGAAAATAAACAACCCGAGTCAGACACAACTGGAAGACTACACAAGCACAACAAAAACATCCTTGATTTTTTTCTTTAAATATTCCTTTCATCTTCTCTTCCCAACTGAAGCTTTCCCCTCCTCCTTTGATTCAGCCCATTCTAAACAGGTTGCTCTTTCTCCCACTCCACTCACTTCCATGGCCAGAGGAAAGGGTTGTCCTAATTCCTTGTACCCAAATTTGCTTCCATGCCATTGTTTTTCCCAACACCCCCCAATTTCTCTTTTAAGGCTCTTGCCCTCCATCCACCTTCTTCTTCATTCTCAATGATATTCAGTAATCTTTTTACTCATCTTCAATTGGTATACTCAGATCCCAACAGCAGCTGTTCAAAATGTTTTCCACTACCAAGACAACAATCTCATCTCTGACATTCCCATTATCAGCCAGTGATCTCCTTTTCTACTTTATTGAAAAGATCAAGACCACTAAACCGCCAATTCCTCCACCTTTCTCCTTTCTACCTCAAACCCAGCCTTCTCCTTTCTGAGGAGACCATCTATCTGGACTGCTGTCTGGGACGTGCTTGATCAACAAACCCCTCTCACTCCTGAATCTTTAGAATCTCTCAACAACTGCTCCTCTCTCATCTACTTACAAACATACACTCAAGGCTACTCTATCCTAAAGCACCTTCCTTTGACCTGCTACCTCTCTGGGGTGCAGCTCCATCTTTCTCCTATTTACTGTCAAACTTTGGAAAGTAGGCATTTCTGCTCCTTCAGGGCATGGCCTAGTTTTTCATGGGTCTCTGTATTCCTAGTGACTCGCACACCAGGTGCTCAATAACTACTGTAGAAGTGAATTATTGCAAGCTCTCCAGTTCAAAATGGCAAGGCAGGTCACCTAACTCTAGCACATGCCTGCACAACATATGGCCCTCAGGCCAGTTAAGGCCCATCAAAGTGGCCCTCAGGTGGCATGTTGTATAGGCCTGTTTTACGTCCTCTACATTTTTTGAGGGTCACCAGAAATCCTTTTGCAGGCCTGCTCTAGCCCTGTGGTCTTGGCTCTTCCTTTCCTAGTGACTTACTGACTCCAGGAGCCTCGGTTGTGCCCTTGGTTAAGTCATCTGTTATACTTCCTTCTTGTTTGGTAACCCACAATTGGATTTTCTGCTGCCTGCTTACTTCATTATCTCTGACCATCCCTTTAAGACTCTGGCTTTCCTGGGTCCCCGCCCCTGCTCCTCTCAGGCAACAAATGGCCCTCCTTCCTCATCCCACCTAGAAGAGACCTTTCAGGCGGGATGGGGCATGTGTATCTAGCTGCTCCACCTTTTGTATTTGCCTCTTGCTTCCACCAAAACCATCAGCCTTCTCTACTCCTCCAGGGCAGCTCTGCTGACCATTCCTCTGTCTCCTGCCTCGGCTTCTCCTTTGGCCTTCTCTGCCACATTCTAAGGTTCCTCTTCCTCTCATCCCTAAACCTAAGTACTAGGGAAGGCCAGTTCTTGGCTCTGCTCTGTTTTCAGAACAGAAATTCCTCAGAATTTCTCAGTTGCTCCCATGGCTTAAACTATCGATTCAATTCAATCAACATTTATTCCCTGCCTCCTTATGTAAGCACTGCGCTTAGAAAGACAGAACCAAAATACAACAGTCCCTGTCCTCACTGAACTTAAACTCTACTCAGAGAATGAGTACTTCATACAAACAGAGTATTCAAAAACTTTTACCTTTAGACCTGGTCTTTCTCAAATACTCTTAAATTTAACCTGTTCCAAAACAGAACTCATCATTTTTCTTCCAAATGCCACATTTCAATCTGACTTTCCCTAATCCTATCTGTTTTCCTATGACTCAGGTTCACTCTTTTCTGATTCCTCACTTGCTATCATTCCACCTCTCCAGTCAGTAAGCATTCACTAAGAGCCCCCGTGTCCAGCCTTCCCCTACCCACTTCCATTACTGCCATTCAGGTGAGCTCTGCTGCTCAGCCTGGCAGAACGCCCTGCCGCCTGTCTCTGCTTTAACCCACCTTCTGTTGGCCTCATCTTCCTAAAGCAAAACTTGGATTGTTCAAAAACTCAAATGTCTCTTCATTCCCTTGGCTTGAACCTAAAGCCTTCTACAGTCTAGCCCCGACTCACTTTCCAGACTCATCCCCACTCTTTCCTTCACAAGGCCTCATCCTAGAGCCAAATACACGGTGGGCTTTTCTAGCCTCGATGCATTTTTTTTCATGACAGTCCCTTTTACACAGATGCCATCTGTCAGAATCCTGCCCAGCTTGATAGGGCCTAGCTGAAATCCCAGCCAAAAGTCATCTTTGCTATGCTTCCAAGCACTGTGTTTTTACAAACTCTTGTGGCTGTTCACCATCTCTCCCTTGTTGCTAAGAGTTATTTGGATAAAGGCATGCTCTTTCCCCAAGGAGGCAGGTATTGTGCTCCCCAGGATAGACTGAAATGTTAGATGATGATATGAGGGAGCTTCTTTTCCTTTGTCATACATATACTTAGTAGTAGGATAAAAGCTGCATGCTGAGTGGGACTAAACATATTCAAATTTAATTCAGTTTTAGGTTTTGAGGCTACAGATTCTTTTAAATAAGTACCATTGCATTTCTATGGCTGAAATAGAAATATGTCCGGTCACTATGAAAAGCTCACTAATGACCCACAGAATAGGCAGAAAGGGACTCATGTCCAATGACCCTCAATATTGTGCCTTTTCTGTCATAAAGCTAAAGGAGAACTTTTCATTTCGGGCAAAATGGCACTTATCAACATCAACCACTTCAATGAAAATGATCATTCACATGCTGAAAATAAATGGATATATGAATACTTTCACTGCACACACTGGATATAATGTTCTAGATAAGGCCTGACCAGGAGAGAGCAGGAGAGCGTGCTAGGCTTCTCAACATAGACCAAGCCTGCATTTTTTTTCCTTGGCTGCCATATCATATTGATGACTCACACTGATATCAATCAGTCCCCTAACATTTCTGGCTATGAGTCAAACTGCCGTCACTTTAGGAGCACCTCTGAGCCTTCGGCAACTCTCTGAGGCTTGTCTACTAAGGTTACCGACGGCTTGTGATCTTCACCAGTGGAAGGAAGACGTTCCTACAAGGACAACCACGACTGGAACTTGACACTGAACTGAACTGCTAAAGTCCAAAAGAAGCCTTCTGTAGACAACAGTATGGATGTATGTATGTACATTTTTTTTTTTTTGGAAACGACAACAATTGTTGTGCCGTCTGATTTAGTTGTGACCAGACAAACCAAAAAAATGAAAGACAAAGAAAATTGGCCATTGCCAAGTACCAGACCACAGCATCAATCCCTACACTTCCCAATGCAGTCAAATTGTCTACAACAAAGATCTAACTGCAGCTGGGGCAGAGTGTGAGGCTGCAAGGACCGTGTGACTTTAGACCTGTTAGGGGGCTTCGAACTCCTCTATTATGAACCCCTCATAGTAAAGGTGAGGAAAGAGATCTCCAAGAGTTCTACTCTTCTACCAAGGGACTTGTCCAAGGGTACTAAGAAGCAAAGCCAGGATTAGAACCTTGGTGCTCAGTGGACAGTAACTCAGTCATCTTTCTAGTATTCACGCTACAATAAAAAGTGGGCAATTCTTTCCTTGAAACTAGACTCCTCAATCACTTCGACCCTTTTTTTGGGGGAATGGCGGTAGGGGGGAGATACACATGAAGTAATAACATGGAAAGGAGTTAAAACACTTGTAGAGCATCCCCATTCCTACAAACCCATGTCTATATACATAATGGCATGGAAACACAGCAAAGGTTCCTAGAATTTCTAACCATTAAAAAAAAAAAACATACCTGAAATACCATTTTGAGGCTAATGCTTACCAAATACTCAAAGACTAGAGCTAATTTTTGTTTTTACCTCTTGTGGTGTTACCCATTTCTCCCTTGTTGGTTAGAGTTATTTGGATAAACGCACGTTCTCTCCTTGAGGGAGGGCGGGTATTATGTCTTATTCATATTTGCACTCCCTGCTCCCCAGGATGGACTGAATGAAATGTTTGATGACAATGTGCAGGAGCTTCTTTTCCTATGTGATACATTTGGTAGTAGAATAAAAGCTGAATTAAAGTAGGATAAAATTTAAAAAAATAGTGCTTACCAAGTACTCAAAGACTAGAGTCAAGGATTTCTCTGTGTGAACGATGTCATGTAATGTAACAATGTTGGCGTGCTTTAGATCCTTTAATAATGAAACTAGGAAAAAGATAAAGAAAATGAATTAAAATCTATGTAGGATTAAATTTTTCAAAAAATTAACAATAGGCTATCAAAACCTGATTTAAAATAGAATTTACTAGAAGTGAATATAGCCTCTAAAAAAAAAAAAAGGCACCTTCACCTAAACAATACGATTTTGACTTCAAAACACTACAATCCCATATTCAAGAGTGCTTGGGTACAGTCATGGAATGAACTTGCGAACTACATTGTCATAAGATTTAATAAAATATACTTATTTAGACATTTGTTTTCAGAAACAATTTTCTAAAGGCTTAGAATATGACCTTTAAGTTGTTTCCTCTTTTTGCATCTTTTCATTCTCAAAATATGAAATCTGTACGTCATGAGGCTGCAGGAGCCCAGTTCTAAGAAGCATTTCCAAGGATTCATTTCTCATGATGAAGAACGCCATCTTACCTTCTCTTATGGCTGTACATGGAGCTCCCTCTTCATGCTCCAAGCGGATTTCCTTTAATGCTACCAAGTTCTCCGTCAATTTGCTTCTTCCTTTATATACAGTTGCATAGGTCCCCTAGGATCACATTCAAAAAGAAAATCCGTAAAATTGTATCCATGCCATACAGACTGGAAAAGGCCTCTAAGGGTATTCAGAGGCTAGATTTCCTTCTTCACAGAAAACACCAGTGTGATCACCCTTTGTTTTCCTAATGAGCCACGGAGATGTGTTGAGTCCCAGCTGCAGCGCTTCTGTACCCTCCTAATTCTATGTTAATTGTCCACTTAAATCAAACACATGCTACATGAGCTTTTTAATTTTTAGTTTCTGGCTCTCTTAAAGTGTTACCACCAACTAAGTGCCCACTTTTCTTTGATTTACTTGCCATGAGAGGTCAGGTTTTTCTGAAATTGGCCATTCATGGTGGAAAGTTCCAGGTAACCATGGTCAGGATTTACGTTTTCTAATTTCAATAATAGTCAGTTACTTTGTTTATGTCCCAATGACTTGTGCTTTTATTATTCAGGACACCATCTTAAATCTCAAGGGTTTAGAGTCATACTATTTGTTATTCCTCACATGCTGGCAAAGAGAACACTTTCATTAGAATTTCTAATTCAACTAATAAAAAAATTTTATATCTAAGTCAGCAGTACTTTGAAATTTCAGTGAAGACTAATGAGAATGCCAACTATTACCCCATTCTGGGGTCTATTTTTCAACCTTATAAATTTCTTCTCTTTAAGTAAAAATAATTTCACATTTAAGTATCACAAAGCATCTATCATCGAGCAAAGGAATGACAATGTACATTCTTTTAACAAAGAGGGATTTTTTTAGGGTGATAAAAACAGAATGCTAATAGTTTTTTCTTTTACAACATACAGTGTATGGCTAAATAGACTAGTGTACTCATCAATGTGATGGATACTACATCACCACAGAGAATGAAAATGTGAGGAATATACAGAAATATGTGGACCTAAACAGAATAATGCAAAGGAAAAGGTCTATTTTTTGCAAAATCTGTCTAAGTACGTATGTAGAAATGAGGAATCTTAAGAATCAGGAGGGGGTACAAAGTGACTTAATATAGCTAAGTTATCTCATACTTTTATGGTAAAGTATGCTTTTTATTGCAAAAAACAATCAGAGAAAAGAAGAAAGTTGTATGTTAATTCCTTACCTCTCCGAGCTTTTCCAATTTAATATAGGTCTCCATTTTCCCAAATCCAATCTCCGACTACAATTAAAGCAGAAACATGAATTTCAACATTTCTTTTTAAAACATGATATTCTCTGCTGCCTCTGATAATCTGTTACGCCGACAATGAGCACAGCACTCTAGTTTGATTTAATTTGCTGGGCAGCTATTTACAAGGTTAAATTCAACAGGCATGGAAATATTAAAGAGGTCGAATCAGATTAAATCACTGTTAAAACTGTCACCCCACATTTTATATAAAATGGTGCCTAAATAACATTCTTCAGTCAACTCAAAATTATATACTCTTTCCAGATGCTGCTGTTTGGAGAAATGCAAATGGTCTTCAAGATAATGAGGTCTTTGCAAAGACAAATGCCTCAGCCTGCTGTTTTGACTATAATGCGGAGCACAAGGAAAGCACTCCCCCCCTGCCTACCACCCTGCTCATTATTTTCATGAGAGGGAAATTCCCAGCAACGAGAAGGAAAGAGCTACAATGTTGATACTGACAGCTATGGAGCACAACCACTACTGAAGAGCATCCTTTGGAGCTGCTCAGAAAACAGGAGATGAAGAATGTGAGACTAATTCTAGAAAAAACCATATGCAGCAATTGTATGGAAAGAATACACAAGCTTTTAAAAGCCCTTTACCTTTTCTCCCATTCTTTTACTTGGCCCAATTTTTTCAAGTATGTGGATTTAGGAAAGGGGGTACCTAGATATACCCTTGGTGGTCAAGTATAATAGGCTAGATATCTGCTACGTGGAGGAACCCAAAGCAGCTGACGTAGAAAGCTTCAAGTGCAGGAAGAAAGAAGGCTCTAAGAGCTGGGAAGTCCTACAGAAAGTGTGGAAAGAGAAAAAATGTGGATAAACAGAAGAAAGGAAAAAGACACCATACCCTGATGGCAACATGCCATTATCCACGAAAGGCAATAATTCTATTTTTCCAGGGAAAGGGATGGATGATGGGGGGCAGCGAGGGAGGGTTAAGAGATTTCCTGAAACCTGACCATTGAGAAGGACTTTCAACAGCCTTCTAGCAACTGCTCTTGATTAACAGAAGAGGCACTGGTGGTGATCTATGAAGGGAGCCCATTAGACAGCTTTATTGTGTTGCTTCTTTTATATAAAAATAAAGGAGCGAGGGAGGAAATAACTGTTCCTTAAACTGCCATATTGTTTCTCAAAGGAATATAAACCAGGCCAGGTTGTCGAGGTCATCATTTGCAATCTCTTTGGTTCTCTAGAGATGGAAAAAAATCACTTTATCTAATGGTCAAGAATGATAGTGCATCATCTCTGGAGGATAACCAATATAATGCTACACACAGAGCATTTCTTTATCCTCATACCAGCTTCCTGTACTCTCTCAGCAGAGGACTTCATCTCAGACTTTCTTGAGAAAAGAAAAGGCATAGGCTATAAGCACGCTCTTCACCCCTACTTTCTACATCTCAAAAGCCCTGGACATCACCTCCTTCTGTCCTTGTGTCCAGTCTCTGATGGAGAGGAGACCTTTTCCTCATCAAAGACTCGTGCTCTACTGGGCCACTTCTCTCAACCCCTCTCAACGTTTCTAGCTGACTGTCTCCACAAATCATCCTCTTGCCCCACATAGTCGATCTCTCCCTAGCCACAGTAGCTCATGCCCTGATGCCTACAAACATATGCCAGTGCCCTCCCCCAATGACCCTGCCTCTCCATGCTCATCCGATGGCTGTCCTCCATCTCACTGCTTACACCAGCTCTCCTTTCACTCACTTCTCAGCCCCCTGAAAATCTGGTTTTCAGTATCTTCCTTCCACTGAAACTGCTCTTTCCAAACCTACCATCATTGGTAGCTCAACTGTCACAGCCAGTGGCTTTTTCTCAGGCCTGATTCTCTGCCCCTGGTAGAGCAGCTCCCTCTGCCACCGAGACACTCCCTCCCCTCTCAGACCTCTGAATCAATATGTCCGGAATTCAATAAATATATCTCTCTTCAAATAATCATTAAAAAACGTCTGCCTTCCTCTTTGGCATAGCAATACAGAGTACTGAAAAAATTGACATGGTTATGGGTCTTTCCAGGGTCACAAAGCATATAAACAGGATGTTGAGAAATGCCACATGCTAGAAAAAGTTATCTTGCTTTTCATTAAATTTCAATCCTATTGCAAACAGCCCTTTGTCATGAGGCTCAATGTCTTTCCTTTACAAAGCTGTCATAATAGGGCATATCTGTTGCAGAAAAAAAATATTCACAGTCTAATTTAATGTTTATACATCCACTTAGAGAAACAGAACATGAACGCACAACACAAAAATGACTTTTGTAAAATTTCAAATTAAAAAATAATTTCCAATACTACTGACTTTCTAGATTATAGTACTATTTAACTGCTAATATGGCTGTCAATCATGCTTCGACCCCACTGAAAACCATACCACGTACTCCATCACTCTTCTATAGCAAAGTCTTATGAATCATAAATACAAACAGTGCATTTGTTTCACCCTTAGAAAAATAAACTGCTAAAGCCAATTTATCTAATAATAAATCTATTAACTGGAGATTACTGTTGTACATGATGTTAGACAGCATAGATCCTGAAACAGTTAACTCTGCTAATCAATAAAGTGAAATTAGATGTAATAGATAACTCCTTCCCATCGTGGCAAAGGTTTTTCATTTCAGCTGACACGAAAGGCATCAAACGCAGCCTACCACACAGGTAAGCCAGGTGATCTGATTTGGAATAGCTCTTGTGCATAGGGGCATATTTTGTGCATGTTCTATAGATGTATACAAACATATCCTGACTCCCAGTTTGTTGGTAATTTTATGCAGCAAGCATGCCATTTTAAAAAAATTCTGTACTATCATGAGTCTACCTGTCATGCTTATCACTACAGAATGCAGGTGCCTGCTTCACACGTGCGTGCTCTTAATTTTCCCAGAATAGAAAAAAAGGCCTTGTGAGTTGCTTTCAATAAATGTACTAAAAATTAACTGGGAAATAGCAGAAAGCAACAAGGATCAGTAGAAAACTAGCCAGATTTGATCACTTAATATGAGAAAAAACAGGAAAGAATAAAGCCTTCTTAGTAACCGGAAGCTTAGAGACTTTTCTGGGCAAGTACTTTGAATAACTATGTACTTAAAATATCACAGGCCCTCAGTCTAATACAAACTGACTAATTAAATGCTGGAGTCTGCTTTAAAAAAAAAATACAGATTTTCATGTCTATAAGGCAGAAATGTCACTGATGCCTAATGACAAATATATCCAACAAGTGAATACATACAGTTCCTTTGCTAACCAGAAGAACTAATCAAAATACTCAAAATAACAAAGAAGAGTTAGTCCTATTTCCAGCCCCCTCATGGTGGAATTCAGTGACATCATTAAAATTTGCTGACAAACCACAAAAATGGAGAGTGAATACTGTACTGTAATCATAATGCTGAATTTAGATTTGAACAGTGGGTTATTAAATGAAGTGAGTGGCGCTTTCACATACCTCCTCCCCAACCACAAAATAGGAAAGACAAAGGATCTCGCTGGTTTATAAAACCCAGCAACATGACTGGGTTAGCTGTCAGACTTCATTTAAGGAGTAAAGAATAAAGCCTTGTAGGTGAAAAACCTTCCCATTTTCAAAAGTTTAATAAACCAATGTATTTATGAAAGCCTGAAATGCAAATTTGGATGAGTATGGTTATTCTCTCCATGTTATCTGTTCAATAGGACAAAACCAACAACAAGAGATGGAATGTCCAACTTACTAACATTCTCTCCTTAGAATATTCAAGAGACAGACCAAGGCTAAAAAAATGTCATTCTTAATGAGCACTAAACAGGAGCACTGGTATGCGCAACTGCAGTTCTGCCCAACATGACAGAAACAGCTCCATTCATTACTTGTGCCTATATGTCTCACAAAATTTTGCTTTTAAAACTATTCCCAAACCCCCAAACACGATACCAGCTCAGCACCATTAGCCTTCTTGTGGCTCAGTCCAACATGTTTCATTAAGTAAAAAACAGGGGAGAGTTCTTGATTTCGTGGGGAAACTACACCCGCACAGTGGAAATAGTCCATAAAGAAGTAAGATTAGTATTATACCATATTGTGAATACAGATGAACTTGAATGATGCAGTTTAAAATCAGTTCAGAGAGACAGTTTTCCAAACCAAGTTAAGTAGAAGCATTCTATGACCTTCTTGGAGAAATGACCAAAGCTGTTGACATGTTGTCATTGTCCCTTCCCCAATTCTGTGCACTCGGTGGGAAAATTAAGTGTTAAGCAACTCCTGCATTTGGTGTTTCATGCTCATGTCAGAAATGTGGTGTATATTTATGTATTATGGGAGGAATTTTGCTGTTAGATACTTCCTCTTTCTCCATGGCAAATCAAAGGAAGTAACTAGCTATAATAGTGTTCTTTTTCTTTTTTTCTTTTTTCTTTTAAGTAACAAGGAAAATGGCTACAGGTATTGAAAACACAATCATCCCTGGTCTAGAGCAGTTACCTCCAAAGTGAAGTGTGCAAGATATTCCACTGGACTCTGGGAAGAAAATATCAGAATTTCTATTTTGATATATTTTTATCTTAAAATAGAAATTAAGTTGTACGAATAAAATTTAATAGAGTTGATACTGGTGCCCTCACTTGGTCTATTAATCAAATGGACATATGTCACATCTGGTATGTGACAAGTCCTGAGGGAAAAGTTGGAACTGTACCATCCTGTGGGGGTGATGGCATATCATTACTAAAGTTTACTTGTGTCAAGTCAATTTATGGATAATTAGTTTTAACTGAACTAACCCTCCCAAAGTAGAGACATGGCTTAAAAAGATTCTTGCAAAGATACCACGGATATGAGATAATGTTAATAATGTGAATTTCAGCAAACAAAAAGGAAAATGACAGTGTTGACACCTCTCCTAGTATGGATTTTTTGCCAACCACGTTACCAAGTAAAAACAATAACAACTTAATTAGACCCGACTGAAGGCCTTCCCAAAATGGAAATGAACAA